CATATTTCAAATACTGCTATCAGATATGCTTGAAGAAAATGTACCGTATAAATGAAAAGAAATTTTGCCTTTATTTCACACCGATACTGTAATAGTGTAATTAAGTTTTTAGGCGCCTAGAAGGGTCATTTAAGCATACGGCATTTGTGGTATTTAAGCGCCTACGCTGCTTAGGATGCATTCTCTGAGTTGGATTTGACAAGTGCATGTTCAAACCCAAACAAGGTTGCCATTATCGGTATTAAAATTTTCAAATACAAGCAGAATCAAACAAGATATAACCCCGATGTTTTGGAATGGCTTCCATGAGTGCTAGCTGTTGTTATTATTCTTTATTAGCATATTTATGTTAAGCAAAGTGCGTACATTTTAAATATAAATATTTTGTTAAATAGAACTAGCACTTAGCATTTAGCGCTAAAGTGACAGACCTGAAGCTTGGCATAAAAAGTTTGCTTGACGACTCGTTCTCATCTAAAGACGCAGAATCTGAACTTATGGCTCTATGTTCTGGCTCTTTTGGAAAACCGTCTTTTAACCGAAGTCCTCTGCAATCTGCTGTTTCTGACAAGCTTGGACTATCTCCGCCGAAAAATTTTTACGAAGATGCCAGAGACTGGTAAACTTTCGAAATTTCCAATTCCGCCATTTTTATCGTGCTCAGATTTTAAGTTTCGACGAAGAATCTGAAGTTCAAGATACGGGCTTCAAAAAGAGACGGCCAACAAGACTTTTCGTCTCTGATGATGAAGACAATGAAGATGATACTGCAGGTATTAGTATCGTGTTGTGCAGTTTTATCTTCGAGGTGGAATTGATAGTCCGCCCACTGTTTTCACTATTCAATCGTTCGAATCTTTTACTGACCAATTACAAAATTTGTAAGGGTTAGTGCTATTTGCCTCTTATACACAACATCGTACAAGAAATTGTTTAGGTGATAAACGGGTAGAAGAAATTTTTTAAGTTACTGAGACGTTAACAACATTAAATAATACGGACTAACTTCACAACAGAACTGGTACATAGCGATAACGACGCAAATACGTTATTGTTGTGTATCTCTTCAGAAGTTTTCAGATCTTGACAATCCAAGCGGTGAGGGGATTATTTTCTCTATTTCTGGATTTTATCCATCATTTGTCTTAGTGATCTTGCATCGATCTCATCCAAAAATCGATATCCTCCTTTCAAAGATTATACAGCGTGATAGAATAAAATTCTCCTCTTTTTCTTTGGCGATTAACATATAAGCTGTCAGACCATCCTTCTAGCAATGTTTCTATTTAGAGTATCCACTATTTAGAGTATCGCATAAATTCACCTTTTAGTGTTAAAGAAATTAGTTACTCCCTGATTGCAGTTATCACAAATCTTAAGAGGAATACTCTCTACCGTACTTCGTCATAAATGCAATGGCTTACTGAAGTTATTTCCTCAACATCGACTTTAAGGTTGGATTTGTGGCGAACGTGAGGCATATTTTAATACTGTTTTATAATTGTTTAACGCTATGAAGATTGAAATAGTACTGCCAAAATTAATGCCTTGTATGATCAGTCAAAAATTGAAGCCGTCATATTTTATGATAAGTTTAATTGTATTGACCATATAGCATAGGCTCTATTGTAATGATGCAAAATTTAGTGGTTGGCATTAATTGTTTGCTGTACGATTGCAGTGGTTTGGACATGTGGTCAGACTGCAAGTAGAATGAATTTGAAAGTAGGCATCGTTAGAGCCTTTTTGCAAGCAGATTTGAATTGGATGGCTGACTGATGAAGGCTGAGACAATTGAAAATGTCTGCTAAGGCTGCTGCTCCGCAGTACAAAATTTGTAATGCGCTGAGAAAATGAATGATATTCGTATTTGGTATTTCGTATATCATTGATGGGAGGATAGCACAAAATATTCTTTAATTAGCAAGGCCATCTCAAAAGACGGCGTTGTTAATTAAAGAATGTTTTATTTGTTGTCCTCCCGTCTGTGACATACCAGAGCATCATATCATCTCTAATAGTGTACCATAATCAATATTTTGTATTTCAAAATTGATATATCTAATATAGTTTCTTTAGCTTTCCAAATGTAGTACGATTTTAAACTCTTATTCTGTAAAGACTAATATTCCGTCATTCTTAACTCATTGCGTACTGAGAAACTGAAGACACTGTGTCGTAACTTAAAAATTTCATTATCCACTTTAGCAAGT